ATCGAAAAATCGAAAAATCGAAAAATCGAAAAATCGAAAAATCGAAAAATCGAAAAATCGAAAAATCGAAAAATCGAAAAATCGAAAAATCGAAAAATCGAAAAATCGAAAAATCGAAAAATCGAAAAATCGAAAAATCGAAAAATCGAAAAATCGAAAAATCGAAAAATCGAAAAATCGAAAAATCGAAAAATCGAAAAATCGAAAAATCGAAAAATCGAAAAATCGAAAAATCGAAAAATCGAAAAATCGAAAAATCGAAAAATCGAAAAATCGAAAAATCGAAAAATCGAAAAATCGAAAAATCGAAAAATCGAAAAATCGAAAAATCGAAAAATCGAAAAATCGAAAAATCGAAAAATCGAAAAATCGAAAAATCGAAAAATCGAAAAATCGAAAAATCGAAAAATCGAAAAATCGAAAAATCGAAAAATCGAAAAATCGAAAAATCGAAAAATCGAAAAATCGAAAAATCGAAAAATCGAAAAATCGAAAAATCGAAAAATCGAAAAATCGAAAAATCGAAAAATCGAAAAATCGAAAAATCGAAAAATCGAAAAATCGAAAAATCGAAAAATCGAAAAATCGAAAAATCGAAAAATCGAAAAATCGAAAAATCGAAAAATCGAAAAATCGAAAAATCGAAAAATCGAAAAATCGAAAAATCGAAAAATCGAAAAATCGAAAAATCGAAAAATCGAAAAATCGAAAAATCGAAAAATCGAAAAATCGAAAAATCGAAAAATCGAAAAATCAAAAAATCTAAAAATCTAAAAATCTAAAAATCTAAAAATCTAAAAATTGAAAAATCGAAAAATCGAAAAATCGAAAAATCGAAAAATCGAAAAATCGAAAAATCGAAAAATCGAAAAATCGATAAATCGAAAAATCGAAAAATCGAAAAATCGAAAAATCGAAAAATCGAAAAATCGAAAAATCGAAAAATCGAAAAATCGAAAAATCGAAAAATCGAAAAATCGAAAAATCGAAAAATCGAAAAATCGAAAAGTATCCGAAAATTTTCAGGTTTTCTGCCCCCTTAACCTCCCCCCCCCAGGTAGCACATGCTCCTCGAAGTTGAAAACCCAGATTTCACAACTCCCACATCATTCCCTAATAATAATCCAAAATTATTTCATTAATTATGTCCAGTAGGGTGATGCTTAAAAATGAAAGTTAAAAAATTCAACGGTTCACCTGTCCATTTTGATCTCTCATATGTAAAATGGAATTAACTAAAATTTTGTTGGATTTCATTAAGTTTTAGGGGTCGCTACCAGGCTTTAAATTTCATAAAAAATGTTAAAATTCAATATAATTTTCATTAGTAATTTTTGTTATTATAAAAAAACCTTATCTCACTTAACACTTTATTTTTATGCCAGGAAGACTCCAATCTAACCACACAACCCCTCCCTTCACTCTAGACCAACTTCCCCCCCTCTCCCACCAACTTGAGGAGCCAGTCACTGCTTGTCAGTGTAGTCGTAGCGGCTGGCTATGATTAGTGCGGGTGTGTGCACGTGTGCAGTTAGTCTAACCTTCAAAACAGTTTATTTCGCTTATATTATAAAGACTTAAAGAGTGATTTATTTTCTGTTTTTTTTTTACAGTGAATATAATAAGTTTCGTAAGTAAGAGTTTTTATTTGTGGGAATTTTAAACAATACACTATATAATGAATAAATAAATTTGTATAGACTGGAAGGTTATATTACTTGTTTTGGCTGTTTTTAACAGACTTCAGATTAATGCGTTTAGGCCTAGGACTCTCAATTTTTGGTTTTCATAATTTTATTACTGTTATTTATGGCATATTGTAAAGTGCCTGTAGTTTCTACAAGAAAACAGACGGAAATATGGCTAGTAGGTCAAATTTCTCAAACATTAAATCAAACCAAACTACCTTCTAAACGTGAAACTCTTTCTGTATTTTTTTATTACAAAGAACAGGAAAAGCAAACAATCCGTGAAACTGCTCATTCGACTTCCAAAGATGTATTGGAAATTTGGAATAAAGCTAGAATTCCAACACAACAGAAAATTCATGTTGTGAATAAGATTGAAAAGCTTTTTAAAGAGTGGCAGAATCTAAAGAAAAATAAAGAAAATAAATCTAAAAGGTCAGATGAGTTAAGGCTGAAAGAAGAAACATGGAATAATAACCTAGATGATTTATTTGATGTAGCACATGCAAATGCTCTACAAATGATTCGCATTCAAGAAGATAGGGATTTTTTTGCTGGCACAGCGTGAAAAAGGACGTCCAGGTAAAATGGGTAGTGTTGACAAAAAACTGTCAAAAAATGAGAAAGAAAAAGAACTTAAAAGAGCTAGAATTGAATTGTTTAATGCAAAAGAATATGAATATATCAATTCAATCACTTCTAAATCATATATGTTTAGCTCATCATCCGACGATGAATCCCTTCATGGCGAAGACAATGATTTTTATGGCCCTTCAACGTTATCAGCAGGTGAAAAAAAAATGAAGGTGTGAAGAAAAGAGGTAGAAAAAAACTACTTAATGAGAAACTAACTACGAGCCTGGATGTTGCAAAAATAGGCTATCGCAAAGCAGCTCTTGTTCTCACATCCACTTTGAATCGCCTTGGCTGTGATCCTGCTAAATATAATTTAAACTTTTCTTCCATACGCTGTCAGCGACTTGAGTGTAGACAAAAAATAGCTGCAAATATAAAAAAAGATTTTGACACTGATGTTCCTTTAACTGTGCACTGGGACGGAAAGATGTTAGAAGATATCACAGGCCATAAAGTTGTTGACCGACTTCCAGTTTTAGTTTCTGGTAAAGGGGTGGATCAGCTTCTCTGCATTCCAAAACTTGAGTCTGGTGAAGGTGAAAAAATTGCATCAGCAGTTTATGAATCCCTTCTTTCATGGGGTTTACTCAATAAAGTAAATACTATGAGTTTCGACACAACTGCATCTAATACCGGGTCTCGAAAAGGGGCTTGTATTCTACTTGAGCAGAAAATGGACAAGGAAATGCTCTGGCTAGCATGTAGGCATCACATTATGGAAATTATGCTGGAATCAGTTGTTCAAAATGAAATTAGGCCTTCGTCTGGACCAGATAATGTATTATTCAAAAGATTTCAGAAAAACTGGCAATTAATCAATAAAGAAGAGTATACGACGTTAGAAACTGATGAAGAATCTATTGAAAAGCTCCAAGATGTGAAAGATGAAATAATCAATTTTGCTAAGAAACAATTGACAGAATATCAGCCCAGAGATAATTACAAGGAACTCTTACAACTAAGCATTGTATTTTTGGGAGGAGAACTAGAAAATGGCGTGTCATTTAAAAACCCTGCAGGTCTTCACCGAGCACGTTGGATGGCAAAGTCTATCTACTCACTGAAAATATTCTTGTTTCGAGAACAATTCAGATTGACAAAATATGAGGAAAAAGGTTTGCGAGAAATTTGTATTTTTACAGTCTTAATCTACATTAAGTATTGGTTTCAAGCTCCTTCCGCTTGTTCAGCCCCAAGAAACGACTTAGAACTCCTCAAAGATTTAAAGAAGTATGAGGATGTAAACCCTGACATAGCTAGAAAAGCAATCAATAAAGTATGTGGCCATTTATGGTATGTCTCAGAGGAACTTATCGCCTTATCATTTTTTGACGACAAAGTGGGAAATGAAACTAAGAAGAAAATGGTGGAAGCTCTAAAGAAAGAAGGAGATTATTTTTGCCCGAAAAGAATTAATGTAGACATTGAAAACATTGTTAATAAAAATCTAGACGATTTTGTCACTAGTAACACCAAACGATTCTTTTCTATTACCGGATTAAGCTCCGATTTCCTCAAGAAAAAAGTTGAAGACTGGATTAAAGACAAGGAATATATTTAAAGTAAGGAGATAGTAACAAAATTTAAGGTAGTCAATGATACAGCAGAGAGAGGGGTGTCCTTAATTCAAGAGTACAACAAAATACTGACCCTAGATGAAGACCAGAAGCAGTATATTTTGCTTCTTGTGAAGTCCTTCAGACAAAATTTCCCGAACTACAAAAAAACAACTTTGATGTCTGCATTATGAGTTTTTTACGTGCTAATTGTGCATCAAAATATTTTTGAGGACTCTAAACAACTAATATAAGCTTATATTAATTATGTAATAAGTTTTTTAAAAATTGTGACAAAGAAATTTTGTAAAATCTGTGTTTTTTGTGTAATTTTATAATAAATACAAAATTTTTTAAATAATCACTTTTTGGGAAAATGTTAGATTTTTTAAATCTTTAGTAGCGACCTTTAAATTTTTCTCAAAAAATCTCAAAAAATTAATTTAAGTTTCTCTTATTAGGTAGAACAAAATGGGAGGGTGACCCAAGAGAAAAGAAACAAAAAATATTTTTGGGTTTTTTAAGCATCACCCTAATGTCCAGGCAACCTTCTTAATTTTTACCTGTCGACTGGACGGGAGAGTTTGAGTTGAGTCCTAATTGGTTAAAACTGAATTTTAATACCACATTGTGTAGGATAGACATTTTTTCTAAATTTGATGGTACTCAGGTAATAAATTTTAAGCTATTTTTAGTATTGTGAATCTAAAGTGCACTCCATTGTTATTAAGTTTATTTGCTATTCAAATTTGTTATTTGTTTAGTAGTGAGAGTAGGTATGTTAAAAAATTAAATGTAGACTAATTTCAAGTGAAACGGGAAAATCGCTGTCATTCCATGAATGGTACACAGGTGTCTAAAAATATTTTGCTTTACAGGGTAAATCGCTAATAAGTAACGAAATATTTTCTATAATGACTTTTATTGATCTATTCACTGAAAAATAAATTAGTACTGGATTTTTTAGTGACAGAACAAAATATTTTACGTACCATATATACAGGGTGATTAATAAAGATCAAATGATTTTTGTAAGCTCTATGTATCAAGAGCTCGATAACTACCATAAAATATTAAAAATTTATTAATTTATTAATTAAAAAACAAATATCGTACTTACCAATAAAAAAGTTTCGAAAATATATTAGCGTGTTCCTCAGGAGAAGGCTTGACGTGTTTTTTCGATGAATCCATTGTTTAATTCAGTTTAAATACTTGTTGCAAAATTACAAAAATATATACTGTGGATGTATTTAATTAAGTACCTATCTACTATTAAATTTAATTAAAGGATTTATAAAACTTCAAGATCGTGTTTGCTATACATACATATTAACATCGGCACTGCTATTGATTTTATACTGGTATTAATATTATTATTATATAGTTATCTATATGACAAAAGTATTTGAAGTTTTCAACATTTATCATTTTTAATCAAATTAAATGTTATCTACAACAAATAAAGTAAATTGTTACTTTGTAGCATCTCCAAAATGCATATAGTTGCTTATTTACTTTTTAATTATTTTCATACTTTCGGTGCGTATTAAGTAGACTATGCTTGCGAGCGATTTATTACGAGAGATAAATTGCGAACAACAACGTCGCGAACGCCAAGTGACAACCCATCCATCGTAGAGCGATTACATTAGGTCTGGGGTGGGATTCCGTTTCACGATTCGACTCGAATTTGATATCAAACTCCATAAAAGCAATTCCGTTTAACGAGTAGTCGATTCGATATCAAATCGTTAAAGTTGGATTATTCTGACATTAGGTATGACCTGTCAATGAGGTTAAAATTTTAGGGAAGAAAGGAATTTAGTTTCCAGGGCATATCTATGTCTCTGGCAATGCATTTTCTGGATAACCTATCGTGCAACAGAGGTCTTTTATATCCTTAGAATATCAATAAAAGGATTATTTATTATACAAAATGCTACAAAATATAAACTTTTATAGATTCAGCTGAATAAGTTCTCCACGACGATTTTCTGGAAGTTCAAAAGGATCTTTTCTTTTTTGTAACTCATCTTTTATTTAGCCTAATAATAATAATAAATAATAATATTTTTATAATTTAAGCCATTATGAGTGATCCTTGCAACTCTGAATGCCGGTGAGGGATGACTATTATTATTTTCCATGGCTCTCCGAGGCAACTTACAGATATCATCATAGGCGCCGAATCCTCGGGGCTCTGGGTGCGCAAGCACCCCTAGCACAACGTGGACAAAAAATGCCAATAAGTGAAATGAAGAAGCTGTTGTGACCCAAGTTGGTATACCGACAGGATGCCTCGATAAAATATCGTTCTGAGCTGTATTTTTTGTGATAAAAAAGTCGCCGTCACTTGTCATAGACAACGCATTGAACCTGTACTTAAGAGTTTATTATTCTTGGTATATAAAACCCTATGACATAAAAAAAACGACTAATAACTTTCTACAAATATCAAAACAAGAGTTATTTTATATGATATTGAGCAAATGCTTGAGGATAGAAAGAAGAACATTTGGAAGTTGCTTCAGATCAAGCACTGTTAGAAAAGAACGTTAATTTAGAGTCAAAAACAGTTTTCTAGTAGTACTGGCGAGAAACCAGGTCATTTACTAAAAACGCGCGGACCTGTCAGTTATTGATTTTAGAGGGAAACATTTGTTTTTGCCAGTTTCGCCCCCTGATTAAAAATCTTTAATCGGGGTGAGACTCACCCCTAAAATTTTAACTGGAAAGAGAGGTCGAATGATAACTTATTTTAAAGATATTTTTACATAGATTATAACCCCCGAGTTTTACATCGCTACTATCTATATAGCCCATACAGTAGCTCACCAAAAGTACAAAACCGGTTTAACATCATTTTTACATTGTTATTAAACAAAAAGGAATTCTTTGTAACAATTCTAGTTTTATTCCTGTGGCTTTCAATTATTGTTATCAGATGACATTCTTTGGTCGATGTAAAGTAGTAAGATTTAGTTTATTTCGTTGTAGAGTCAGCCGAGAGGGTGCAAATAATTTCACTTTTTTGAGAACAATGAATGTGGTAATAGAACTGCCCAACTGTTTAACAGTCAACATTAAAATCGACAAGTCCATCGAAAGTATATTTTGGAGTTAGTCCAAAAATTTTGGGAACGGGATCAGTAGCTACCAAATGACGGAGCTACAGAGGTGGTGATTTTAGGGCATGTTGTTCAAGAACTCACATTGAGTACAAGGCAGTTTGCGATAACATCTGGTATTAAGAAAAGTAGCATTCAGAAGATATTGAAAAAACATTCCTACAAAATTCATCTGGTATAAGAACTTAACGAAGACGATTTTGATAGGTAATTACAATTTTGTGAAATTATGACTGACCAGGCAATAAATGATCAGCAATTTCTTTTCAATGTGTGTTTCTCAGACGAATGCACTTTTTTCCTAAATGGTACGGTAAACCGTCACAACTGTCGTTATTGGTCCGATTCAAATCCCAGAATATTTAATGAAATGCATACGCAACATCCGGAAAAACTGAATGTTTTGATTTGCATTTTTGGCCACCGTATACCTGGAACTTTAACCACAGACATGTATCTGGAATTATTAGAAAACGTCATTTATATAGCATTACTAGGGTTGATTCAGACTGACGATCAGTACATAGCAAACAACTTAATATTCCATCAAGATGGTGTGCCACCTCATTTTGCAGTGAATATTTTCAGGTCAATGGATCGGAAGAAGAGAAAGTATTGAGTGAGTGGCCCCCACGGTCTTCGGATCTAACCTTGTTGAATTTTTATTGAGGCCACTTAAAAACTAAAATTTATGCCACCCAGCCAACATCACTGGAAAATCTGTGACAAAGAGGTAGTCCATTAATTATGTATTTTTGACCCCCTCCTCCCTAGTGAGATTTCGTAAGATTATCCTCAACTCCCTTCCCCCACCCCCCTCTCCCATTTCCTCACCCATCCCCCCTTACCTCTCCCTCCCCCCTTCCCTCTCCCTCCCCCCTCCAACTTCCCTCCCTTCCCCCTTACTCTTCATTACATTAAATCGTATTGTTGCTTTAGTCATTTGTGCTGAATTATTACTATTCATTTATTTAGGAAGTGTGTTGTTATTATTATTAGGTGTTATAATTAAAGACGGTAGAAATGTTGCCAATATTCAGAGAACATCTGCTGCAGCAGGAAAGAAGAGAACGAAATATAAATATTATTCGCAGAAGAAAAGAGTTAAGGGAAAGAAGCGACCCTTTCGAACTCCCTGAAGCTCGTTTTGTAGAACTTTTTCGGCTCAATAAAGAGTATGTCTATATTTTGTATCGTTTTAACATTATAATAAATCATTCGTTTATAGGTGGTTTAGGAATCTAATTGATGAAATAAGACCTTTGATGCAGGAAAGGTTATTAAGAAAAGGCATTACTCTGGAGTCTAAATTCTTCTCTGCTTTAAGATTATACGCCACAGGCTCATACCAACGATGTATTGGACAAGATTTTAACGCAGGTATGAGTCAAACATCAGTGCATCTATGTATAATATCAGTAACTAATGCTTTAGAAAGACTTAGTAACCGATACATCAAGTTGCCAAATACCCGTGAAGAAAGAAATACACTAAAAGTTGAGTTTATGAATCGATGGAATTTTCCAGGCGTAATTGGGGTGATAGACGGTACTCATATTGCTTTACTAAAGCCATCCGAGGAGGAACACAACTTTATTAACCGAAAAGGTTTTCACTCCATCAATGTTCAAATTATTTGTGACCATACTTTGAAGATTAGGAGCTTGAATGCAAACTTTGGTGGATCAAGCCATGATTCGTTTGTTTGGAGAAATAGTGAAGCCCAAAGTTTTACGAGGAACCTTTATCATAACAATGAAATATGTTGATTATTAGGAGATTCGGGATATCCGCTTCAGCCGTATTTATTAACTCCTTTTCGTAATCCTGTTGATCAAAGAGCACAAAATTATAATAATGCCCTATGCGCTAGTCGTAACTGTATTGAACGATGTTTTGGCTTATTAAAAAGCAGATTTAGATGTCTTTCGCGGGAGAGATCTGCGAGGTACACACCGCTTATGGTATCCAGCATAACAAAAGCTTGTGCTGTTTTGCATAACATATGCATAGATGCAGGTATTCAGTACGAATATTTATTTGGAGATGGAGATGAAGACTTACCGGATCCACCTCAACAAAATGACATCTATGCTGCTGCAGGCATTCAAAATAGACAAAATAGATATTTTTAATACTTTTTTTTAATTATATGGCACTGTACATTTTTCAAATTAAACTGTTAAAGATTGAAAAAATCTTAATATATTTATATACTATACTAATTTTTTTTTCTAATAATATTAACAAACAAAATTAGTGATTAAGATTCTTTTGCTCAATTGCGGATTTAATGCCATCCAGACTAGTCCTTATATCTCTTAGTCCCATGTAAAGAACTGACTTAATTTCTTTCAATTGTTTTATTGTTTCAGCATATGCATCGTCTATGTTAGATTTTTTCGCCTTCTTTGCTGCAGTAATAACATAGTCATGATCTTGAATCACACTTCTCTTTGCACTTCTTTCGCCAAAGCCCATACTATTTAACTTTCTAGTTAACTCTGTCCATAATTTTTTAGATTTTTCCCTGGCGTTTAAGCCAGATAATCTTCCCAGACCTAATTCGGAATGCGTTTCAAAAAAGGAAAGCATTGTCTCCCAATGTTCATCTCTTACTTTGATTGACTTTTTTGTCTAAAAATTGAAGATTAAAATGACAATAAATGTAACTTTTTTTTAATAGTAATGAATATTTCAGTATCTGATAATAATAATATATGGCATATTCTCTGAATTTACTGAGGATATCTATGTTTGCCTATATTCATGGTATTTTGAATATTCATGACATATTCAATTTTTTTTTGTAATGCCGTACCATAGTTTAGAAAATAAAACCCATACTTAAATACAAAATAAATTTTATTTTAAAAATAAAGCAAATTTTAAAAATACATACATACAAAAAACTAAAAATTTAAATTTATTTGTTGAGGTTCTTCACGTACTTTTTTGCTAAAAAAAAATGACATAAGATATGTATATCAGTAAAATAGAAATATTTCAAAATCTTGAGACAAACATTACAGTAATACTTACTTCTATAGCATTTTTGGGTCACTTTATTTATAGTAAAGGCCTCTACATTTTCCGTTGCCATTTGTGTACTGTGGATTTTCCTACACATCTCTAAAAAAAACAAAAATAGGTTTACATAGTGCCTTGTCTGCAATTTTATTACGAATTGTCCATATTTTTATTTCCTCTTAACACTTTTATAATGATCAGTTACTTTATTACTAAGAATAGGTAAATCATTAGCCGTAGATGTCTTTGAATTAATATTATCCTATACAAAGAGAGCTGTTGAAATAAACTCAGATTCTTGAATTTTACACGAGTTTTTTCCTGGAGAAAAGAATAATGGTATTTTTTGGAAGATTCAGTAAGAAGCTTACATTTTACATTCATCTGAAGCTAATGCTCTATCATTATTTGAGAACAAAAATTCATCTACCAATTGATTTACACTTCTTATAAAATATTTATGATTTTAAGCACTACACTGATACTACAGAAGGGTCATATATTATAATTAATCAGACTTACCCCTTAGGTGGGTATATCGTGAGAAAAAACTAAAACTACATCACGTCCATGGAGGAAGGATAATCACGTCTCACGTCAGCAAATCTGACAATGTTTGG